CTCACTGAATATCTTTGATAAAATCACTTTATTGCCTAGTTCCTCATTTGTAAAATGAGGGTATTGTGACATAATCCTATAAAACATGTTCTGCTTCCAGGAATGGGAAAAAAAAAGTTTTAATAGATGGTGTCTTTTTTTTTTTTCTATACTTAATACCAATTGCCATCGAGTCAGTTCCGACTCATAGCGACCCTATAGGACAGAGTAGAACTTCCCCATAGGGTTTCTAAGGAGCGGCTGGTGGATGCCAACTTCCAACCTTTTGGTTATCAACTTAGCTCTTAACCACTGCACCACCAGGGCTCCATATTTAATATAGTGTCCCTCATTCCCCCTTTAACAAATTCAAGAGGGAGAAGTGTTTAGAGCTCTCACATAATCTACAGAAACAGCAGATTTTGCCATGTTAACACATTAGTGCCTGAGTAAGAATGTGAGTCCATGGGTAGCAAGGAGGAAGAGGGAGAAAATGCAGAAGTAATCTGCCCCACTACCATAGCTTTCTTTCATGATGTCATATCTAGATCTTATAGAACCAGAGAAAGAACCAGACAGCACTTATAGAGCAGCTCTTCAAACCTGCTCATTTTAGAGATAGGGAACGAATGTCAGAATGGAAAAGACTCAACAGTCAGTGACCAAGGTAGGACCTGAACCCGGGACTCCCAATTCTGAGTGCAGTGTTCTTTCTGACAAGCCACACTGCTCCTCACAACTTTTAGTTTAGAGGTGATACAACCCTGGGCTAGAATAGTGTCTTCTGGCCCAACTAGACACAGCCTTCTCCACCCTTCTTTTGCTCTACTAAACTTTCCTTTGACATCTGACATGGAAGGGTTGGAGAAACAGATATTCCAATTTAAACCTTTAACTTCAGCGCCAAGAATGGTTGAAAAATAAGGACCCAACAGATCATCAACAAGAGCATTGCTAGTCTCAACTGGCATAACATAGTTTATAAAGAAATTGTTCTACATTTTACTTTGGTGAGGAGAGTCTGCGGTCTTACAGGCATATGAGCAGCCATCTAAGATACTCTATTGGTTTCACCCCTTCAGGAGCAAGGGAAAATGAAGAAAACTAAAGACACAGGGGAAAGATTAGTCCAAATGACTAATAGACCACAACTACCACGGCCTCCACCAGACTTAGTTCAGTACAACTAGATGGTGCTCAGCTACTACCACTGACTGCTCTGACAGGCATCACAACAGAGGGTCCTGGACAGAGCTGGAGAAAAGTATAGAAAAAAATTCTAACTCATAAAAAGACCAGACTTACTGGCCTGACAGAGGCTGGAGAAACTCCAAGAGTACGGCCCCTGGACACCCTTTTAGCTCAGTAATGAAGTCACTCCGGAGGTTCACCTTTTAGCCAAAGATTAGACAGGCCCATAAGGCAAAACAAGACTAAAGAGGCACACCAGCTCAGGGGCAAGGACTAGAAGGCAGGACAAACAGGAAACCCAAGGTCAAGAAGGGAGAGTGCTGACATGTCATGGGGTTTTTAACCAATGTCATAAAACAATAAATGTACTAACTGTTTAATGAGAAGCTAGTTTGTTCTGTAAACCTTCATCTAAAGTACAATAGGAAAAAAAAAAGAGCTTTGCTAGAGTTGGCTGGATTGGGCAAATCTTCAAGCAGGTCACAGTACTCTCCTTTCTGGAAAGATGAATCCTTCTCTTGCTTTCCTGAGCCTGTGTCCTGTAGGAAGAGATCAAAATACTTGGGAGTTGGGTACAGAAGATCCTTCCAAGACTAAAGGACTCCCACTGGGCCAATGCCTGGGAACTCTGGGCAAGTAATTTTGCCTCTTAGAGATTTAGTCTATTGATCTAAAAAACTGAAATAACAATAACAACCTTGCCCTGTCTGAAGATCAAATGGGATAAAATGTGAATGTATTTTGCCAATCAAAGTACTACGCGCATGTGAGCAATCATATTTAATTCCAACTTTCAACAATATTTATTGAGCACCTATTATGTGCCAGGTACTATGCTAGGTGTTGGGGATATATCAGTAAACCAAAAGACGAAAAACCCTGCCCCTCATGGAATTTACATTCTAGCAAGGGAGATAGATAATAAACAAAATAAGTAAAATATATAATATGTCAGATAGCAATGAGGGTAATGGAAATAAATAAAGCAGGAAACGTAGAGTGGGAGTGAAAAGTTACAATTTTAAATAGGATGGTCAGAGAAAGTATCAAGGCTAGGTGATATTTTACTAAATACTTGAAGTAGGTAAGAAAGGGAACCATTTAGACATCTGGAAGAAGAGGGCTTAAGGTAGAGAGAATAGCTCTGAGAGGGAAGCATGTCTGGCATGTTTAAGGAAAAGCAAGAGGCCAGTGTGGCTGCAGTAGTGAGAGCAAGGGAGAAAGAAGCAGAAGTGAAGTCAGAGATAAAGAGTGGGTGATAACACAGGGCCGTTGAAGTAATAATAAGAACTCTTGCTCTTCCTCAGGAGGAAATGGTAAGCCACTGAAGGGTTTTAAGCAGAGGAGTGACATGACCTAACTCAGGTCTTAACAACATCTCTCGTCTGCCGTGTGGAGAACAGACTACTTCTATTACAAACCCTATGACATTATAAGACAACTATCATTTTCATTTCAGAACAGTGCTCCTCAAACTTTATTATGTATTGTAAGTTACATGGAAACTTTGTTAAAATATAGATACAGATTCAGTAGGTCTAGAGTAGTGCCCAAGTATTTATATTTCTAACAAGTTCCCAGGTGATGCAGACACTTCTAGTCTAGGGGACTACACATTAAGTGTAGGAGTCCTGCCCAGGGCCTGGCATGGAGCAGAATTCCACTAAATGTTTGCTGAATGATTGACATGTCAGTGGTTAGATGCCCAATGCCACATAGGGGCATTTACTAAATTTTAATTTGACTTGTGATATTATTACTTAGTCCCTAAGATTATGGTAAGGACCCTGAGTCTTATTTAATACTCATTTCAAGTATTTAAGGCTTGTTCCAAATAGACTAGAGTTCTTAGAGACAAGTTATCTTTAAATCACCTAGAAAAGGTAGTCAATAAAGATAATTGACTACATACTTTTCTCAATGTCTTATCAAAACTGCCATCAAAAATATAAGTAATAATTATAATTATATATAATACATTATAATATAGAATTATAAGATTTAATAGTCATTAACTAATAGCTTTAGATAAAGAATCAGGTTTGATTTATAAAAAAGCAAGTTAAATGTGTTCTCCAGAAGTCACTTCTGCTACACACTAGCAAAAAAACAAGAGCGTTTAGGCCTTTTCATCAGCACAATCATTCATGTAGTAGGTAGGATGAAACTACCTTCAGCTTGGAAGCCTTCCATTCCCCTCTCTTCCCTACATAAATCTACCTGTTTTTGCCCAAGAGGATTCTAGGGCCTGCTCAAATTACCTGCCAGCCCTTGATGATACACAGGGTTAGAGAAGTTATCACAGGACTAAGGCAAAAACAAACAAAAGCAAAACCAGAGAACCTAACAGAACACGAAAAGAAGACATATATTTTCACAGTTCAATAAAGTATAAATGCTTCTGTCCATAAAAAATTGAGTTTATGATAACAATTAGAAAAATATAAGCAACCAGCAAAAGTGAATTGGCTCAATAAATTTACACATCATGTAGCCAAATATAGCCAGATACCTATTAGACTTATGTAGATCCATTTTTATTGAAATAGAAAAGATGTCCATCCTATAGTGCTAGGAGAAAAGTGTTACAGTACAATTCCATTTTATTAAAACTATATTTATACATATATACGCATAGAAAAAAGAAGTCAGCTACATAAGTGGTTTTTACTGGTTTGTGGGATTATGGGTAATTATTTTCTTACGTGCATGTTATTTTTCTAAAATGAACATGGATTAGTTGTATAAGAAATAATTAATGTAATCAATGTCACTGAATTATACATGTAGAAATTGTTGAATTAGTGTATGCTTTGCTGTGTATATTTCACCAAAAATAAAATAATTATTTTAAAATAAATAAATAATTAACAGTTCAAACAGTCTCCTTTCCTTTCCCTTTTTTTTTTTAACGGACATTAAGAGTACTTCACATCAACTGAATAAATCAAATATATTCAGCTAAGATTTTTTCAAAGAAATGAAAACAAAGCATTTAAACTCTAAAAAAAATTATTTTCTCCATTTCCCACTGCTTTTCCCTTACTGCTTAGTAAAATGTCCTTTGAAAATGCCAACTTGTTCCTGCTGAGCTCAACGCAAATTGAGGAAAAGGGCTCTCACCCTCACTTAGAACAGAGAGATGGAAGGGATGGGGGTAGGGAATGGGGAGCCACAGCTCCTAGGAAGGTAAAAGGACATATTGAAGGAGCTGAAGTTTGTGCACCCAGCTTTTGCCTCTTTTGGATTCCTCTCCCCAAGATCTTTTCTGCTTACAGTCGAAACCAGTGTTTCTCCAAGTGAGGCAGGAGGACCAGCAGCAATAGCATCACCAGGGACGCCTGTTAAACTTAGAGATGCCTGTGCCATACCCTAGACAGATGTGATAAATATCTTGTGGGGGAGAGATGCAGAGGAGCTGGGATCTTCATGCTTAACAAGCTCCCAGAGGGACTCTGGTGCACATTCAAGTTTTCGAACCACTAGCTTAGAAGGAGATGTGATTTGCTTTAATGAGGGAGGTCAGGTCCTCACATGGGGTGTGGAGATAGAGGTGGAGAATCAGGGGAGGGATTGAGAGAGAGAATGAGAGAGAAACAGACAGAAAGAGAAAGAAAAGGAGAGAATCAGACAAATACAAATAGAGAGACTGAGAAAACCCAAGGAAGCAGTTTAACCCCATGGAACAGAACCTGGGAGGCCAACACAGCTGCCCTTTCCTACATCTTGGGATTGTTACAGGCTGGACCCAGGAGAGTTGTTAGTTCTTCGTGGAAGTACCCTCCACCCTACCCTGCACATCCCACATGCACCATCATGGCTGGCCCTACCTCGCATATATCTTTGAGGTGCTTGATGTAGTGGCGTTCAGTACTCATGATCTCATTGATGACGTTGGCCCGCATCTGGTCCCGGTTTTGTAGTGGACGACCCAGACAGAGGCAGTCTGAGTTGGGGTCCAGGTGCCCATTTTGCACATCGCTGGGCCCTTCCTCCATCCCATCCTCTTGGTTCACCCAGAGCTGTGGAAGCAGGCAGAAGAAGAAAAATGAGTTAACTTCCTTCTTTGAGAAGTTTTCAGTCAAGTAGAACAAGGATGAACTAAATTCTTCAGGAATTCAGAGAGCCTTTAACCAGGGGCCCCTTGAAACTGAGTGCCAGACCTGGCTCTAGGGTAACTTGCTGGTCCTGAGTATTGGTCCAGTCCTCTTCAGGCCTCTGGCACCCATCTGTGAAATGGAGACTGGGGAGGGGTGGGACTAAATCATCTCTCAGAACCCTCTCAGCTAATAAGGTCTGAGAAGAGGGAGGAGTAATGGCAAGCAGAACTCATTCATGCTGGAACAGATCTAGGCAGCACAGCTGAATCCAAAAAAATAAGGATTAAGCTATAGACCTTGGGTGCCACAAGTAGATTACTGTCAACACGCAGTATTTAAATGCTTGCCAGTGTAGATACTAAAGCTGGATGCTGGAATGAATGTCTCAAAAACAGGGCCTTGGAGATTTTTTCCATCAAGCCAAAAAAACCCAAACCTGTTGCCGTTGAGTAGATTCCGACTCATAGTGATCCTATCGGACAGAGTAGAACTGTTCCATAGGATTTCCAAAGAGCAACTGGTGGATTTGAACTGCCAAACTTTTGATTAGCAGCCATAGCTCTTAACAACTGTGCCACCAAAGGATATGCAAATAATCATTTAAATTTGACTGTAAAATTCCTTGAGGATGCAAAATATCTCTTACCTCTTCAAGGCTGGGTGAGGAGAGCAGAATGTTCCCCCGCTAAATAACAGTAAAACTAATTATACACCAGCCACTATGCTAAGAGATTTCAATATACTGTATTATTCATGTAGGTAACATTATTACCATCATTTCACAGAAGACGAGACTGAGGCTCAAAGAAGTTAAGGAATTTGTCCTAAGTTACACAGTTAAAAAGCAGAGGAGTTGGGATAGGAGCCAGGTAGTATAACTCCAGAGCCTGTGGTCTTAACCATTGTGCCAGGACCTTTGTGTGGCAGTCTCTAAGAGAGACAGGAAAAGAGAAGGGAAGGCTTGGGCCAAGGAGAACTGAGAATTAGAATCATTAGAAATGGGTACAGTCGATACAGTTTGAGAGTTTCTATTTCAAATCATGAAGGCAGAAGGAAGCTGAAAAACCTCCTTTTGGGCGGCTACGAGAGATATAGCTGGATCTTGGATAACTTAGCTTGAGTCAGGGAGATGGCTCATTTCACCCCAGTCCTAGAAGGGGGACAAACCATGGGGACAAAGGAAAAAAAGGTGGGTAGCCTCTGTAGGCAGAGTGGCAAAATCTTCTGGGATAATTAGCTGAGGAACTTGCCAGTAGTTTCAAAAGCTTTAACCAACCATCTATCTTCTCCCTCCCCCCACTACTAGCTTTTTCCACATTCCTGGCTCAGAAGCTGAGCTCAAGCCATTTAGATGCATCTCTATTTCTGTCACCAGAAAAGCAGGTTGATGGGTGGTCACAGAGAGACAGAGGCTTTGGAATGGAGTTAGAGGGACAGTAGTTACTTCCTAACTCTGGGTATTCTTCCCTCTCTCTTGCCTTGTGGGGGTTGTGGGTGGGGTTACCACCCAGTAAGCCTAAAGATACTATCAGCATACATTCCACTTATTTGCCACAGGCCAAAGCAAGAAAGGCTCACCCCATTTAAAGGTATTTTGCACACAGCTTAACCTAGAACTCAGAACCTATCTCTGCAAATATTCTACTGGAAATCTCTTTCCAGCTTCCAAAAGGTCAGGTTTGTGTCTTCGATATGCTAGCCCACCCCACTGCCGTCGAGTCTATTCTGACTCATAGGGACCCTACAGGACAGAGCAGATCTGCCCCATAGGGTTTCCAAGGCTGTAAATCTTTATGGAAGCAGACTGCCACCTATTTCTCTTGTGGAGAGGTTGGTGGGTTGGAACTGCTGACCTTTTGGTTAGCAGCCGAGCACTTCAACAAGTGTGCCACCAGGGCTCCTCGATATGCTAACAGCACCCTTTAATACAATCAACAAACAGACAATGAAAAGGGACAATTACTCAAGGAACGCATCTGTTCAAAGAGTGATTCTAAGACTCTGAAGCAAAACATATCATATACATGATACTATTTGTAACAATAAAAACCCCATTCTCTAATAATCCATTAGTGTTCTCCTGCTTCTAGAAAAGCATGCTAAGCCCTGCTATGAAAATGTACCACTGACAGACCTTTATGAGATAAGAACCATTTCTTGTCATTTCAGGGATTTAAGACAAGTCAAGTCAAAATGCTGACTTTGGATGGCTGGAATGAGATGAATTTTTGGAACAGTTCCGGTGAGAAGGAGCACAGGATATAGAAGGTGGGAAGAGAGCAGGAGCAGGAACAGAACAAGATTTATATTCAGCCCATAGTCCAAACAGTTCCAAACAACAATGAGAGGGGTGGAAGGCAACTGCAACCAGGTGGAAGCATATTCCTTACACATAATCTGGTGGAGCAGCTTCTAAACCTTCTGACTAGAGCTAAAGGTCTGGGTGGTAGGACCCTCCATAAGGAGCTTCTGAAAAGCCAATACCTTGATCTCGTCCACTGCAAAAACCCCAGGGGCCCACTCCTTGCTGCCTTAATCCAAAATAATGACTGGGTGATTCATTCATTCGTTAAATCAATATCAAGTACCTCCTATGTGTCAAATAGTGGGGATAGAGCAGTGAACAAACACAAATCCCTGCCCTTTGTGGAGCTGACATTCTAGGGAAGATGTTTCTCAGCCTGGAAAAAGGCTCCATGTAAGGCCTAAATATTATGCCCTCTGGGCCCAGGGTTCCACAAAAGACCCCTGGGCTTGAATATATGACTTTCTGGTCTACCTCTAAGTTCCATGCTCTTGAGAACTTCCCTGTTCTGTGCAGATGAAGGCCCTTGTCCACTTGCATGTCACAGTACACTGATATAGGTCAGCCCATGAGCTTATCTTCCTTGGATGAAATGTCAGCCCAGAGTTCCATACCAAGCCTTCCCAAAAACCTATGCAGGCTAATGCATACCTTTTCACAAGTGTTCTTCATTGACACTGCAATTAGCATGTATGGGCCCCTGGATGACAAGTAAGAAGATGGACAATGCCCGGAGCCTGGCAGTTTGAAAGGCTTTCCTGGAAGCCCTCCTCAGAGTACTTGAAGACTGGTTTCTCCAGCCCTCATTGAGCTCTGAAGCAAGGCTGAGTTAATGAAATTAAATTTAACAAATATCCACTTTGAACCTATTCCATGCCTAACCACTGAGAGACATGGGGAGGGGGTAGCCAAAACAACTGACTCCTCGCTCCTCCTTCTGATCCAGGGAGTGCTTTCCAAATAAGAGAAAATCTCTTTTCCTTATCTCTCCTTTTCCATTCCCAATGCCATGACCCTCATCTCCTTATACCTGAACAATTCCCTAGGTGATGTCCCAGTTTCAATCCCTCCCACACACTGCTATTGGACCAAATTACTTGACTATCACTTAGATTGGCTACTCTGACAACCCAAAACTCTCAATATCTCCCCACTGATTATAGGGCAAGTCCATGTCCTTCACCATGGCATTCAAAGAACACCATATGATATGGCTCCAATCTGCATTTTGACCCTTACTTCCAACTACTCCTTTTAAGAATACTGAACTCCTCCCACATTGGTCTACATTCTGTACACAAAATAATCTCATCTTTGACCTTTAATCCCATGTTGGAACATGGAAAGAACATAACTAGAGGTTTTCAACCACTTCAGCAACAATGACCCAACATCTCAAAGTCCTGATAAAGAAACAGAGACCCACAGGCAAAAAATGACTGCCAGGAAATTAGTGAAATACACAGATTCCCATTTTGATATGTCTTTTTATTTTGTATGTGTTTACCTTTTTTACTGTTTTTAAATATCACAATTGTAAAAAGTTAAAACAGAAAAAAAGGGAGAAGACTCAAATTATTAAAATCAGGAATGAGAAAGGAGATAATACCACCAATCTTACAGAAATAAAAGATATTAAAAGGGAATATTATGAACGATTCTATGTCAAAAAATTTGATAACCCGATGAAATGGACAAGTTCCTAGAAAGATATAAACCGTAGAAACTGACTCAAGAAGAAATAGAAAATCTGAATATACCTATAACAAGTAAAGCAACTGAATCAGTAATCAAAAACTTCTGACAAGGAAAAACCCAGGACCATCTGGTAAATTCTATCAAATGTTTAAAGAAGAATTAACACTAGTCTTTCACAAAGTTCCAAAAACAGGAACGCAGAAATCCTCAATACTAGCAATTTGAACCCAGCAATATATAAAAGAGAATTATCCACCATGATCAAATGAGGTTGATCCTAGGAATGCAAGGTTGGTTCAACATATGAAAATTAACTACTGTAATACATCATATTGATGGAAAAAAGGGGAAAACATATTATCATCTCAACAGACACAGAAAAAGCATTTGACAAAAATCCAACACCTTTACGTAGTTAAAAAAAAAAAAAAAAAAACAGCACCCAACAAACTAGGAATAAAAGGAACTTCCTCAAATTGATAACGAAAATTTATGAAAAACCCAGAGTTAACATTATACTTAACAGTGAAAGACTGAATGTTTTCCTCCTAAGATCAGGAACAAGGCAAGGATATATGCTCTCATCACTTCCACTTAGCATTTTACTGGAGGTTCTGGCCAGGGCAAATGGGCAAGAGGAAAAAAAATAAAAGGCATCCAGATTGGAAAGGAAGAGGTAAAACTATCTCTATTCACAGATGACATAATCTCGTATATAAAAAAATTCTAGAAAATACACACACACACAACTGTTAGAACTAATAAATGAATTTAGCAACGTTGCAGTATAATATACAAACAAATTCTATTTCTATATACTAGTAATGAACAATCTGAAAATGAAATTTTAAGAAATTCCATTTAAATAGCATGGGAAAGAATAAAATACTTAGGAATAAATTCAGCAAGTGTTAAGACT